TACTACACACACACACACACACACACACACACACACACACACACACACACACACACACACACACACACACACACACACACACACACACACACCGAGAGACATAGCTATACCTATGTAACTTTACAGTGTAGACCAGTCCATGCTCATAGTCTACACTACAGACCTATATCAATATAACTACATCACTCCAGGGTATGGAAAATCTACACATAGTTATAGTGACCTAACCCCCATGTAGACAGCGCTATGTTGACGGGAGAGTTTCTGCCATTGACATAGCAACCACCTCTCGTGGAGGTGGATTAACTATGCTGACAGGAGAAGTGCTGTATGTGAAGAAAAGCCTTCATTTAGACTTCCTCACATGCATTTAGCAATGGGAAGCTTATACATCACCCTATATAACCCCTCTGAATTGGGCTCATCACACTAATGCCACCGGAATATTTTTTTCTTCTGGAAAACTTAATACTCATTTAGTCCCAGTAGTCACACTTTTCCTGCCACCCCATTGCCTCCAGAAAAGTGCTGGCATTTGGTTGAATTTCCTCACCTGCTTAATATCTTACACCAAAGTTATAGCCATGACTGCACAATGTGCAACATTTCCAAATTTCCTGTCCAGAGCACTGACAGTACATATGCAGTTGGACAAGACCACAGGGATTAGTTCATTTTTATGGAGCTTCCAAACCTGTCACTTGACAGCAAGGGTCTGATTCTCAGGGATTCATTGGTATTCAAAGAAGCTTGTTTGCAGTTTGCACCAGGCTCTTCTCCAGAACCATGCATGCTCCATCTGTGCTGATAACACAGTGTTCTTTGGCACAGCAAACTGGAGGAAACCAGCAAGTGAATTCATTTCATTACCCCAGACATTATGTGAATGACAAAGCGCTTTTATATTATACGCTGCTGTCAATTCAGTGCCACCTGTACGTCTTTTTTTTTTTTAAAGCAGACTGTCTCTTCAGGAGTGATGATAAGACTTCAGGCTTGAGGGCCTGTATGTCATATCAATCTGTCATAATGACCTTGCTAAATAGTAATTTATATGATATCTTACTTTAATTAATCAATATTAACAATTCCCTGAGGTACTCTGTCAATGCATTTAAACCTGTCTGTATTTTAAAGCGTTGTAACAAGAAGGGAGTGTTAGGAAGCATAAACCAAGATTAATATAAACAACCAACACACAACAGATTCTGATAGCTGTTTAATTGTGTTAGAATTAAAGACTCAGTAAGCAATAACCTTTTTTTATCCATTAACCACGGGAACAATTACCTGTCATCAGTTGAAGAACCTCGTTAGAATGCATTTGCTACCATGGGCTGTTTTTGTTTTTCTACTCACTGGTTTATGTATGATGTGCAGTTTTGG